TTCCCCCCCTGTAAGTTGGGACTCTAGAGGACGTTCCCAGGGAGGCATAAATGGCCCATGCAATGGGCAGGCATCAGGGAAGATCCAATGCAGGTGGGGGCTCACTGGGCCTTTGCCCTGGTTCTTTCACGTTTCCAACGGCCTGGTCGGGGGATGGTCAGAGTTGCCCCCATTCAACAAGGTGCAGTCTGCGAGGAGGGGGGGGTGTCTGGCCAGTGCTTCAAGCCACCTCCATCAGCAGCCACCTGGAAGGTCGACCTGGGGGCTGAAGTCCGGAGGGATTTTATTCCCTCCTCGGCTACCAGCTCTTGCTTTCTTCAAGGCAGTTATTCAGAAGGACCCCCCAGTTGCCTTGCTATCAAAGCCAGGAGTTCGTTAATCATTGCTGCTCCGGGAATTGGAAGGAGTTGGGATCATCCCACTGCACAGAGCCTGTCTCTGTAATTCAGTTTTAAAGCATGAAAAAAGGGAGTTGATGAAATTCCACTATCAGTGCTGAGCCAATATGCAAAATATCTCACCCCCAATCAAATAGCTATTATGTTTTCATTCCATTTCGGCATCAGCTTAATGAGCAGGAGACTGATCGCAGCGGCTGGCGTCTGCTCACCGTGATAACCGAGGGTCTCCGGGCAGCGGGGGCCATGCCCAGGGCTGCCCTGGCTGGCAGTGACCACTGTCATCACCCACATGCACCCCCCAGACAGGTGCTCGGCCTTGGGCATCGGCCTCTGGACCCCACCAGACAATGGGGTCAGCCTCGTCCTCGCTCTAGGTCATTTGCAGGTTAAGGAGAGGCGTGAGGCCACGCCTGCACTGAGAAGGGCCTTGGTCTGAGCTGGTATCTGGAAGGGTGGCTTATTGGAGAAGACTCCTCCCCACCTGCCCCACCACTGATTCCTCGCCCAGGCCCGTGAGCAGGTCAGTTCACCTTGCTGGACCTCAGTTTACTCATCTGCAAAGTGGGAGTGACTCAGGTTTCCATCTTGGGAGGTGTTGGGAAGTGCATTCGCCCATCATGACTGTCATAATGGCCCTGCCTCCCCCTCCACCTGGTCCTGTCACCCTCCCGCTGTCCTCTCCCACCACTGCTCCCTGTATGGTAGAAGTGTACCCTCCTCTCCCCACACACGGTCCCCATCATCGCTATACCCCTGGCTACAGGGGGTTGGAGGGGTACAAAGGACATTTACAAAATGCTGAGCACAGGGTAGTGCTTAATCATAGCGCATTCCTCCCCCCCACCACCACCATTTCCTAGGCCCTGCTGGGAGGTAGGTGGTAGTAGGTAGTAATGATGACAGTTGATGTCTGGGGCATATGTACTGTGTGCCAGGCCTGAGCTAAGTTCAAATACAGGTGTCACCACACTTCATCCTGTAAGGTGGGAGCTGCATGATTACTGAGCACAGAAAGCTAGAGTTCCTTGTCTGAGGTCACAGCAAGGACACTTCCTGCTGGCTCAGCTGTTAGGGTCTCTGGGCAGAGGGTCCCACAGGGGCCCCGCAGGCTCTGTCCTCACCCAGGACACCCAGGGAAGCATAGCATCTCAACAATCACCCTTGCCAGCTGAGAAACCTTCCTCCTGCGGCCCCAGGTGGAAACAGGTGCCATGGGCTTAAGCAGGGACAATGTGGCATGCTCTCTGTGCGCACAGGCGAGTGTGGGGCGGGATTCGCTGTGCTGCATCCTGGTTGTGGGCTTGTAGCGATTTGCTGGTTGGCAGTTGTCTCCTGCATTATCAGAGCTGTGTTAATTGTGCTGGAACTGAATTAGCAGCATTAGAATAAATTGCCTCTTTCTTCACGCTCATTGTCACGCCTTTGTGCAGAGCGGATGCAGAGCGGATGCCTTTGTTCTCCGGTAAATGGACCCAACAGGAGCTCAGGGCCTCCCTGGGTGGCTGAGGCCCACCTGGGTGAGGCACCAAGAGTAGGGGACATCCCGGGGCCTGACAGGAATGAGGAAGGGAGTGTCAGCCCCACCCCAATGCTCTGGTCCCTGCATTCCCTGAAAGCAGGTAGCTTCTTACCCATTCTCCAGAACAGGCAACTGAGGCCTTGAAATCCCATGGCCCATTCAACAGGAGGGGCCACAGCTCTGAGGCAACCCCTCCAGCTCTAAATGAGCTACAGAAGGCACCAGGGCTTCTAGAAAAAGGCCAGCAAATGGGCTGACCTCAGGACTGTGTGCTGACCACGGTGATGGGCAGTGCCCACTCAGGGCCGACTCCATGGGAGAGGGATCAGAGGCTGGCCTCCACTGCATCCAATGCTTCCCTACCAAGGTGCGTGCCGAGGGAGGTTACTGCGGGTCAGGCCTCCCACCTGTCCCAGGGGCACAAGTCCGACCGGTCTGGGGTGTGCCCAGCCCAACACAGCCTGCTTGTGTGGGCGCATTGACGAGAGCACAGAGGCTTAGCCTGGGGCTGGTTCTGTGTGGTCTGAGTAATTATAGCTCTGAGGTGTCCTGGGGAGGCTAGAGCTAAGGCCAGAGGGCTACAGCAGGGAAATGACCGTGCTGCCCTGTGTGGACCCTCTGTGTGCCTCTGGGTTAGGATCTACCTCCCCTCAGTCCCCCCTTCACCCCCCACCCCTGTCTCTAGGCTAAGAGGAGGTCGGCCCTACTCTCCTCTTAGCCTCGACTCCCCACTCCTCCCTCCTATATCATATCGAGGCCTGTCCGGATTCCGGGCCTTTGCACAAGCCGCTTCCTTTGCCCTCAGCTGTCAGCCTCCACCAACATCAACCCCTGAGATCTGCTGGTAGCATCTGTCTTTCTCATTTGACTCCCCCCCATCACAGCACATTTATAATTTTCTGTTGTTGCGGTTTGGGGCCTGTCTATTGTTTGACTATCTCCCCTGCCGGCCTGGAAGTCCCCGCAGAATCCAGAGGTCCCGGCACTTCTGCTTTCTAGAAGTGTCTGCCCTCAGATGTCCATGGACATGAGGAAAGGCACCTGCCCCCCAGGAACAAAGTTTCCACGACTATAGCGGCCATCACCCACCTGCGGTCAGAGAGAGGCCCTGAAATGCAAAGAGAAAACCAGCTTTGCACCTCCCTGTCCATGTAAATTGCTAGGATTTGAAAGTAAGCCTGGGAACTCAGCCACCACATTCTCTCATAGCCTCGTGGGTCTCCCTGTCCTGCTGCCTTGAGCCAGTTTCTGTGGCCGTGTGAGACGCTGGCTGGTTGCACAGTGTGACTGGATGGGCAGGCATCTAAAGCATCAGCAGGCCCCGCCTCCCTCCATCAGCTAACCACCCACCTTCTTTCACCCCCTGGAAAACCCTGGCAAAGCTGGAGAGAAAGGGCACCAACAAGGACACCAGTGATTCGGTGAGAAGCCCCTAAAGCTGGACATATTTTAGTCCCTCTCTGTGTTTTTCTGGGGAGAAAGCACTGGATTTCATCGGATTCCCAGAGGGGTCATGACATACAAAAGGTCAGGAACCACCAGCCACTGAGGTGTGAATCCCAAGCAAGTCTCCCTCTACTGCCCCTTGCCTGCCTCTGGGGACGGGAGCTCGGTGGCCCCTGAGAAGTGGCCACTCCATTCTTCCCTGCTCAGGTCCCCTTCTAGTGCTTTCCATTCCTGTCAAAACAAGCCCCATTCTTCTCCATCAGGAACCTCTGACATGTGAATTTGCAGATGCTGCCACAGCTTCTTGCTCTTTTCTTCTTGCTCATTTTCCTCGGCAGCAAGAGGGTCTGGATGCTTCAGGCTCAATGGCCTGGACCCAAAAGCCCCCGTTCCCTGCCCCCCATTCCATGGCTGGGGCTTGAGTCAGGATCCTCCCCCATACCACACCTGGATGATGAGTGTCATCTCCCTGGTGACTGGTGGGTGGGGCAGGACAGGTGGCTGCAGAGGAAGAGCTTGGGGAGGTACAGTAAGTCCTCACTTAATGTCATTTAGAGGTTCTGTGACTCTAAGTTACTGGAGGTGTAACGAACCAAATTTGCCCTAGGCTAGGTGATATAGCCACAGTTAGGTTCCTACAGTATCTCATCCATGTTACTTAAGGACCTGCTGTACTTGGGGCAGAGGCAGCCCCACGCCGATACCTGTCCCGGGGCCCAGGCTGAGACAGGGATAGAAGGGGCTTAGGCAATCTGATGAGCTGGAGGAGGAGGGGCACCTGTTCACCACTGTTCTCTCTGCCCACTGTACGGCACCATCTCTCTGACCCCGGAGCAGAGGTTGCCAACCTGGCCTGCACTCAGGGGCACTAGCGGGTCCAGCTTTGACACCCTCCCAGGGCTGGGCTGGGGTCAGGTCACCTGGACTCCCATCTGCCTTCTCACCTGTAATGTGGGCTCCATGGGGCTCCCTTGTAAGAGCCTCTGGGAAGGGTGGGGATTGGAATTAGGGGGCCCTAGGTCTGTGGCACTCTAGCCTCCAGAGGGTGACTGCAGACACCCGTGTGTTCACCTGTGCCCATCAGCTATTTATTCCTGGAATCGGCTTCTCGGAGACCTGTGTGCTGGGTGCTGGGGCCCACCCTCAAGAAGCTCCCAGACCTGGAACCTGGGTGTGGACTGCCTCCCAGAGGAGGGGTCTGGGTCAGAGGGAACAGCTATGCCAGGCCCAGGAGATGTTTACCCACAGGAGCTATGGGCGCACAGTGGGGCTCTGCAAATCCCCCAAGAGCGTACCTGTGGGACGAGGAAGGGCCACGGCAATCAGGCAGCCTCCAAGAGCTCCCCAAACCACAAGACTCCCCATAGTTGCTACCATGGTTTGGAGCAGAGGGGCGAGTCCGGGACGATCGTCCTGACAAGAGCAGTTCACTGGGCCTGTAGAGGCTGTAGGGCAGGTGAGGTGTAACAGGAAGGCCAGTGACCCCCAGGTGCAGGGGTTGGGCTGATGTGGGTAAGGTTCACACATCAAGTCACACTGATGGCTGCCCCCTCATGGCCTCTGACTCCATGGAGTGGCCAGGGCATACCATGAGGGAGCAGAGCCTCACGATTTCCCTTGGGCTGTGTCTGCAGGTTCCCTCGGAGACATGGAGGCTGGAGAGGAGGCTCAGGCCGCAGACATCGGCCTCCCAGAGCCGGAGGCTGTAGCACCTGAGCCCGAGGCTAAGGAGGAGCCCAAGCCCCTGAGCCCTTCCAGTCCAGGTGAGTCAGGCAATGGGTATGGCAGGCTGGGGTCTGGCACTCTGAGCCACCCCACACCTTTTCACATTCTGGCCTGTGACTTCATGAGAGCCAGTCCCCCTGGGTTTCCACACCTGTGAAGTAGCATTGAACTTGGTGTATCTGTGGGCTAACTGTGCCTGATGGGGCAAGGAGAAGCCAGGGTGGCTCCCAGCCAAGGGCTTGATCCCAGGGCTGGAGGGAACTGGGGTAACCTATTTCATAGATGAGGGAATGAGGCCCAGAGAGGTTACTGAGTTGCCCAGGGTCGCACAGCCTACGCACCTGATCAGGGATCTGACCCCCAAGTCTGGATTCACATTGATTCCCCCTGTCTCCCCACCTGCTCTCCACCCCACCCCAGGCACCGGAGTCTCTTCTTGGGACCTCCTGGTGGCAGTTTCCCCAGTGGAGGGTGTGACGCATTTCTCAAGCTGAGAACAAGTTTTGGAAGAAGAGGCAGCCCTCCACCCAGGGGTGAATTAACCTGACACCAGGAGGCTGGCTCAGGATAGCTGTACCCCCAGACATCCCGGAGACCCCTAGGAGGAGGAGCCTCACTGAGCAGAGGTGCTGGGGGAGGTCAACACCCGTCCTATTTTCTAGAAGAAACAGACTGGAAGGCCAGTAGTGGGAGGACGAGGGGGCGGGGCTCTGCCTGGGCCATCTGCTCTGAGCTCCAGCTCCCTCTCCTCTGCCTCCCTGGATCCTCCACCATGGCCGTGGGGGTGATTTTACTCCCATTCCCATTTCATACCACGAATGCACACCCAGGCTGAGGTACCCCCAGGCCGTCTGATGGAGGAAACAGCCACAGACTGGCCCATTTGGGAGGGTGGTAAGTGGGTGGGCATGACTGGAGTGAAGGAGAGATGGGGGGTTGGGGGAAGGCAACATTGAAATGAGATGTGGAGTAGACAGCAGGAGAGCTCTGCAGGGGAGGAGGGGGCGGCAAGAAGCTGAGGAGGGGCAGGAGGCGGGCAGATATCCCAGACAGACCTTTGTCTCTGGCTGGGAGGTTCCTTCTCACTGCGGACCCTCCCACCCCCAGCATTTCCCAGTCTCAGAGCGTCGGGGTCACCACAAACTCAGGAGCCCAGCAAGCCTGGTCCTTTAAGACCTGCTGGCCCCTGTATCTCTTTCCCCAGTAGCAGGCCCATTGGAGTCACCAGGGCTATGCAGTGAGAGGAGGCGGGGCCAGCGGGACTTGAACCCAGGGCTGGGGCTCCCATCATTCTCAGCTCACTGGGGACTGCGCGGCCATGGGAAGGGATCAGGAGACTGGCCTCTGGTGCCAGTTCTGGTTCATTATTGTTATCTCTGCCACCATCATCATCATCTCACATTGCCTGATGGAACACCAGCCTTCCCTCCCACTAGGCCCCAGCCCATGCGCCTGTCCTTCCTAAGCCTCAGTTTCTGAATCTGTAACTGGGCGTGAACCCCTTGGGGTGGCCGATGGGGCTGAGGGAGTGTGTGAGGGGCCCCTTGTCGCCATCACGATTACTATTAGCTGCCGTGCACTAATGGGGAGGCCTCTGCCAAAGGGCAAGTGGCTGGTTACTTATGGACTTTGACCCGGTGGCTTTCCTAGGGTGCTGGGCCCCTTATCTGATCTGGGAGCTGGGGCTGCATGGGGCGGGGTGGGGAAGGAGCTGGAAAAAACAGCCGGGGTTGCACCTGGCACAGGCCGTGGTGATAACTCGGTGATGGGCGAGATAAGGCAGCAGGAGCTATATCTGCCTCTCGGGCGGGCCCAGCCCGGCTCCCTCTCAGTGGCTGGAGCTCAAATGCCAGCCACGTTGATTTATAGCCAAAAATAATAGGACTTTTATACTGTGTGATTGATTTATTTGATGTTAATCATGGCCCTTATCTCGGGTATTAATAACCTGCTGGGCGCGTGACGTCACCAAGGGGGGGCTTTTATGGGAGCTCATCGATTGGGGGCTGAGGTGGTTATCAGGCCAGCAGGGAAGGCAAATATGCCCTTTGGGCTGGAATTGGGTGCAGGGCCTGCTGGAGAGGCCCCCAGCTGCCCGTGGAGGAGACCGGGAAGGCGGAGCCCACATGTGTGCCCCTGGCCTGGGCGTGCCCAGCAGGGCATCCTGCACTCTAATTATTAACAGCAGCCGGAATAGCAATTATTATTGCTACAATTAATGAAGGGAATGAGGGGTTTTAAAGGCCAAGGGGAAAAATTGAGATGCCTGATCCTCCCCAATTAGAACAAGTCTAGGGGTGGGTGACCTTAGGCCAGGGGTGGGCAAACTTTTTGACTCGAGGGCCACAATGGGTTCTTAAACTGGACTGGAGGGCCGGAACAAAAGCATGGATGGAGTGTTTGTGTGAACTAATATAAATTCAAAGTAAACATCATTACATAAAAGGGTACGGTCTTTTTTTTTTTTTTTAGTTTTATTCATTTCAAACGGGCCGGATCCGGCCCGTGGGCCGTAGTTTGCCCATGGCTGCCTTAGGCACATGCTTACCTGGGCCTTGGTGTCCTCCTGGCCACCAAGGATGGGTCAAGAGGTCAGGCAACTTGGTGCCCAGAGCTTGGTGGGGCCTGACGGTGTTTTCCTCTCTGCAGAAGCTAATCCCCCGCCCCCACTGCCAACACCGCACCCCACATCCCCTGAAGGCTCCAAGGAGATGGAGGGGCAGGAGCCAGAGACGAGTCTGGAGGAGGAGGCCAGCAGCTCGTGGAGCGGGCCAGGTAACCACACCTGCGGTCGTGTCCAGCAGCATTGGATGGCCCCAGGCCCAGCCTTCTGGGAGCCCTGGAGCTGAGCACTCTGGCAGCTCACGTGGGACAGGCCTGGCCTGCTGGCTGGAGAGGTTGGTGGCAACCCACTGGGCCCAGGCCTGTTCCAAAGTCCAGCCTGCCTGTGGGGCCAGTGGTATCACTGGAGGCCAGCACCAAGCTGTGCCGATGCTCAGAGCTGAATCCCAGGCCTGGTGTGGCAGACCAAAGTGGGTTCCTAGGAGGGGAAGGAGGAGCAGGCGATGAAGGCAGGGAAAGACATCCCAGGAGGCAGAAACAGCCGGGGGGCGGGGGGTGCCTTCCACGTGGGCTGGGGAGTTAGAGCTGTACAGGTGCTCAGGCCTGTGCAGGGTAGCCCGCCCCCACCTGCACCGAGGTGGCTGCTGGCACCCGGGAGATGGGAGGTAGCTGCAAACTGCCTGGTCGGAGACCACAGGGAATGTCTTTGAGGGTGGTTTTGGGCCACCAATCACACGCCCTCCAATTTGCAGCTGAAATTCTGACCTTGGAGGTCCTACCAAATGTGTTCTTTCTGGCCCCCCACCCCCACCCCACCCCAGTTCCACGCATTCGTGAAGAGAAGGAAGAATGTCGGTTGGTTGTCTCCGTGGTTCTTTGGTTCAGGGACACGGGGTGACTGTGGGAGGACTTGGCAGGGCTGCATCTCCAGGCGCAGGGACCGCTTGCCATGGAGGGCTGTCAGTGGGAGCTGGGGAGGAGGAGGCAGGGCGCGGTCCCTGATGACTGGAAGGATGGGAGACTGTACTCATGCCAGGCACATGCGCGACGCAGCAAGCATTTATTGAACACCTGTTACGTGCCAGAATCTGTGAGTGTGCACACACACAGGCGTAATAATACAAGTGAGGTTCATGACCGACCAGTGGGAAGAAGGTACATGGTGAGGGCCTCACCTTGATGGGGGGTCAGGGAAGTCTTCGCCGGAGCAGAGGGGCACCGAGTGACCAAGGGGATTGTCCAAGGTCACCAGCTGCGAAGTGGCAGCGCTGGGTGTGGACCCACCACCTGGCTCCAGAGTCAGCTACGGGTTTGTGAGCTCCAGCTTGAGTGATCACCCAGGCGGTGCTGTCCACCCTGCAGGGTAATGTCATCATCCATTTCACATAGAAGCATAAGCCCCTAGAGATCAGAACCTGACCCCCGGCCAGGGCCGGGGTACACCCAGGAGCTTCCTACACTATTTGCATCCTTGGGGGCCCTATCAGCTCCCACAGATATGAAATGGGCAGCGATGGGCTGATAAGTGGCCGCTGGCCAACCGCCGCGGTGGCTGCCCCCTATCAGACCCCAAGCAGGCCACACTTATCGCCCGCCCAGGGAAGCCAGAGAGGCCCAGTGGGCTCTTATCTCACAGGGGCCACCCGTGCCAGCAATGGGATGGCAGGGCTTCATCGGGGCCCAGCTGGGTTGGTGTCCCCGAGGGCACTGCCCAGCACTGACCGCCTGCAGGGTATGGTGCAGCCAGTGCCTGGCCACCTTCATCTGCAAGTCCTGGCACTCTTTGCAAGTTTAAGGCCCTCTCTCCTGTTCTCTGTCCCTCTGAGCCCCTCTGCCTGTCATGTGTGAGCATCTCTCTCTCCCTGTCTCTTTCTCTCTCCCTGTTTTTTTTTATCCCTGGCCTGCAGGTAATCTCCAAACCCCATGTGTGAGGAAAAATACAGCCCCCATCCTCACCAGCAGTTCATGAGGCAGGCTCAGGGGCACCATCCATCTATCCCCTCTGGGATGGGGGTGGCGGCTTGGACCACAGTGCACCGTACTCTGCCTGGCCTTGGGCCAGTGCCTGGGCCCGAGCCTCAGTTTCCCATCTGGCCTGCATGAGGGTGGGAGGTGGTCACCTCACAGGACCCAGAGTTCAGCGTACATGCTGCAGCCCATTCTGGCTGCCCTCTCTCACCTTTCTGGCTGCCATCTGCTGGTCAGGACCCAGGCGGCAGCGGCCCAAGAGAGAGGCCCAGCCTCAGTGTCCGTCTCTGCAGCTGCACAGTGGGTGCAGCGCAGTTGCCCTGCCTCCACTGGTCAGGGCCCGAGCAGACGGCCAAAAGAACCTCCAGGAGGCACCCACATGGCGCTGGGCAGAAGGGAGGCCTCTCCTCCCAGGAGGCCCTCCACACACACTGCATATACAGTGAGGTCCTGGATGAGCAAGGGCTCTGTAAGCACTGGAGTACGGGGCCCGGGGCCCGCTGGTGACCATCCCTACTCTCCCACCCCGTCGTCTCCAGGCCCCATTACCCTCGCTTCCTTCTACCACTGGCTGAGACCTGGTGACTCCAGAGCGCCAAAGCCAGGCTGGGGAGCTGTTCAGGTGTTTTTTTTCATTTTCTGAAGGTCTGAACTGTTAGCTGCTGGTGGCTTGGTTCCCAGGTGTTACTGCTTCAAGTGGGCCGCTCAAGCGGTCCTGCGAGCAGGAGCACAGGCCCAAGTCAGCCTGCCTGGCCTGGGTCCAAACTGCTGTGAGCACAGTCTTCAGGGAGCATGCACACACACGCAGGTCGCTTGTCCTCTGGGCCTCAGTTTCCTCGTGTGTCCGACAGAGCTGAGGAGAGTGCCGGCCCCTTGAGGGAGCTGTGAGGAGAGCGCCATGCCTGGTGCGGTGAGCACCTCGCCTCGGCATCACGCTGAGGGCTGTCATCTTGCCCCAGCCGCCTGGGCTCCTCTGGGACTGGGAGAATAGGCCGTTCTACAGGGAGAAGCCATGGTCTGGCACAACCCGAACTCCACTCCTGGGGCCAGCCAAGCTGTGCACCCGTGGAGCAGGGAGAAGCCCCTTTCCCTCCCCTGTGGGTGGTGTTCGTCTTGGCCCCACAGATGCCATTGCCCACCCCTCACCCAAGACGCCCCCACTGCACCAGAGCCAGATCTGCTGTCTGTCAGAGCCCAGGCCCAGGCTGGGTTTGAGGCCCAGCTCTGCAGTGACATCGCAGTGTGGTCTCTAGGAAGTCACCTCCTCCTCCGAGCCCCCAGGGGTGCATGAGGGCCAGGGCAGAGGTGCGCCGAGTGAATGCTGGAGGAATGCTGGCTGTGCCAGAGATGTTCACCTCACGGGGCTCAAGCAGCACCAGCTTGAACTGTGTGGGGGGAAATGAGCCGTCCTGGGGAATGTGTGACCCTGAAGGGCCCGACAGGGGAGGGGGCTGAGAGCGTGGGAGGGGAGGGTGCCGGGCGAGGACACAGCCCATGCAAAGGCTCAGAGGTAGCATCAAAGCCCAGCAAGGAGGCCCTAGGGCCTGAGGAGGGGAGGAGGAATGGGGAGTGACCAGGTGGGTAGGGTCAGGCCCCAAAGGAGAGGAGGTTGGGGTGGGAGCTGAGCCTTCATCCCAGCTCAAAGGGAAGGGGGCAGGCAACAGGAAGGGGGAGAGCTCATCCCAGCTCAAAGGGAAGGGGGCAGGCAACAGGAAGGGGGAGAGCTCAGGAGTTTTATCTTTGAAATGACCTTGTTTGCTAGAGGGGCTGACTGTTTAAAATTCTGATATGCAAATGGCTACGAGCTATAATCTATAATCCCCAAATCCTGTCCGGAAGGGCAGCTGCCACTGCCTTTGCTCTGCTGGCCCAGTGCTCTCTGCTCCTCAAGGGATGGCTCCACCCACCCCAAGTCCCACTCCTTCTCTGTGTCCTGTGCCCACACCTCCCACTACCCTCGTTCCCCTCCACCTCTCCACTTAACATCGGGAAAAAGCAGGTCAGACAGACAAGCACCCCCATTAGGACTGAGAGTCCTGAGGGTCCCATCTGTGTGGGGGTCCTGGGCCTGACACCCACCTCACGGTTCTGTCCAGGCTTCTGACTAATGGCAGTCAGCATGGCCTTGGCCTGCCTGGCAGATCACGAGGCGACTGATGAAGGGAGCGGCTGTAGTGTTTGGGGTCCCCTCCCCTTGGTAGTCCCCTAGGGTCCCTTCCCACCGAGTAGCCCCTCGGCCAGCAGAGGGAGGGTGACTTGCCCCCCTGGGGTGGCCAGAGAAAGCTTCACTCCTCTGACCTCCACCCTCCCTCCCCTCCCACCTTCTGCCCAGCACAGAGGGGACTCCAAAGAGCACAGTCTCTGTCTAGCTCTCCGGCCGCCTGTTTGGAGGCAGTGTGACCAGATGCCCTGGATGCTGAGCGCAGGGCTGATCACCGAGGGTGCTGTACTCACTGGAGAGCAGGAGGGGAACCCAGGAGGCCTCTAGGGCTCCCCACCAGCCCGGGGACATCAAGTGATCATGAGGACAGCCTGGGCTTCACAGGCGCAGGAAGGAAGGCGGTGGCCAGGGGCGGTGGTCAGGGCACCCAGCCTGTGGCCTGCCTGTGTGATCAGAGCCCTAGGAGCAGGGTCCCTTTCCCCCATAAGGTCTCAGGGCCTGGAGTTCTTTCCTGGTGACCACTGTTTACCAATAAAGACAATTGGGCAGGGCCTTGGGAGGGTGGGGACCAGGATACAAGGTGAGAGGACCACTGACAGGCGAGAGGCCTGTGGGCAGTGGGCAGCCTCCTGTGGGAGACTGATCGCTGGACCACAGCCTGGCTTTATCACGAGGGCACAGGCTGGCACTGGGTAGGACGTGGTTGAGCTGGAGCAGGAAGGGACGGGGGCGTAGAGCTGGGGACCACCTGCCACCACCTTTCACTCATCGACACTGAGCAGCAACCTGCCCTGAGCCCCAGACCAGGCAGCAACTGAGACACGCATGGAGCAAACAGTCCCCACAGGGCCATAGTCTGTCACCTCTGACTCCAGGGGTGAGTTGGTTCTGCTCCCCCAAAAGCCAGGGCGTGTGGTGGGGGAGTAGGCTGGGGTTCCCTAGAGCTGAGACTGAGATGGACTTTCCTGGGCCTCAAAACCCTGTCTGGGGCAGCCCAGTTTCAAGAGAGAGGGGCTTGGAGGGGGGACGAGGACCCACACCGGCCAAGAGAAGGAATGTGGAGCACAGCGTGGCTGCGTGTGTG